CATGTTATACATGTCCCATATACAAAATTTCAACGTTTTGAGGCCACTCGTTTTCGAGTTATGCGAGATACCTGCATACGTACGTACAGACATCACGAAAAAATCTCTTCTGAATCCATTTTGAGAAAAAGATTCATTTATTCTGTCCGTACGAACAGATGTCACGCCAAAAAAAAAAAGTTCAAATGGATTCGAGAGAGAGAGAGAGGTCAAAATTGGATGTTTTCGTTGAAATATGATATCCGAAATTTTTCGCGATTACAATACTTACTTCCCTTACTTCGTACAAGGAAGTAGAAAACTCTCATTGTACTCTTTACAAGAATAAAGGTTTCGTGTGTTATCTTTTCTAGTTTTTATAGTAGCATTCTAAGTTGCTTCATAGAAATTTTCAGTAGATGTTTATTTTAAAATCTTAATTTTCTATATATGTTGTAATTTATTTTAATTTTCGAGATTTTTTTAAACTTGCTTATGGAGCGAATGTTTGCAGCTGATCAAAATGTAAACAAAATGCGCTGATAAATCAATTGAAAAGCAAAGTACATACTAAACCGAAGAAATCTAATATTCTTGGACAAAATTATATTTTTGCAAATGTTCAAAAACAGCTTTAAGAAATTTATGTTAGGTGAAACTGCATGAAAGTCTAAAAAAAAAAGGATCTCTTTGTAAGGTCATAGTGTATAGATCCAATCACAAAAATCTTACTGCCTCGTTTAAAAACTTGTATGCTGTTTGTTCATCATAGTTGCATCGCCATGGATGATGAACTAACTGGATCTTGGCCCTCGAAGCTTCGTTAAAGCCCCAATATGCCCCGCGGGCTGAAAAGTTTGGAGACCTCTGCTGTAGAGGATGCTGAGGGAAGAGACTGCTTATGATGAAGGAACAAGAACAAAACGTGCTCAAAAACGTGATCTTCTGGTAAAGTAAACGGTAAAAACTGTCGTCTCGTGATCGAATTAATGTTGCGTGAAAAGTAGGAAGCGGTGGCCATTTTTCCAACTGACCTGTTGTACGGAAAGGGAAAAAAAAAATATAATAAAAATTAAACAAATAAATAATAATAATAATAATAAAAAATACCGGAAGCTTCTGCATCACACAGTTTCGAAAAGAAAGGAAGCAGAATGATCGTTCCCGCCAACGACATAATTCCATCGATGAAAGGGGAAGGGGATAGTGGCTTTAATATTCATGAAGTCGTTCTTTTTGATGGAGGAAGTTTTTCAACGAGTAGGGCGACTGTATTTGGCGCTCTATCTCGTATCCAGAAGACAAGACTTTTTTTTTTTAAATATTATTTTTTAATTAACTAAATGTTATATAGATATTTATTTATGAATAACAATATAAAAAATCATTAGGCATTTTTATTTAAATGCACATTAATTCCAAGAAAAATATATAAAAGAAATTCTGCCTATGCTTAATTCTTTGCAAAAATGGTAGCGTCTTCTGCAAAGTAGGAATAGTATAGCGTCTTCTACCAAGTAAACTTTGCATATTCATTCTACAAAATAACCGTGCGTATAATCTAACAGATAGCTCTCAGATTGGTGAAAAGTCTGATTCTGCGAAATGGCAAAAGGTTAAAATTTGCATGTGAGATGGAGACAACCTTGTTTGCAATTTTTAATCTAAAATTTCTTTCTCTTCCCGGCTTCATACAAATAACTTTCAAGATGTTTATATAGTGGTTATTGTTCACGGGTGTGTGTTGTTGATATCCGTAACTACAGTGGATTCGAATCCGGGCCTTTCAACACGGCAATCAGCGGCGCTATAACCACTATACTGGCGGCACATTTCAAGTGCTTCTTGTAGCTCATGCTAAGTTTAACGTAAATGTCGGTACTTGCGTATTACCCGGTATCGGCCGATATAAAGGTTAGACTAATATTAGAGGAAGCGCTTATTGCTTCGCTTTTTTTCTGTAATCCTCTTGCCATGGAAAGTGCTCTAGACAACAGTTATTCGTGTGTTCGTCTTGTTTTAATTTTTACTGCATTTCATCTTGTATTTACTACATTTACCGAGACAGACATGAAGCAGGAGCAGTCCATTATTTCGAGACGGTATTTCGCTAAAAAAATCGGGAGTAATGAAAATGTGCAGAAATGACGGAAGATATGCGATGGAAATGTAATGTCAACAACAGCCGGAGAATAACTGGGAACTGGTTGTAGGAAGGAAGTCTTATTTATGAGTTCATTTGGAGCAGAAACAAACTGCGGAGAATGATACGATTTTGAAGGCGACTGTCGAAAAATATCCGGTGGAAGTAAAATAAAATAAAATAATAATAATAATTAAAAAAAAAAAACTCTTTCATCGATCTGCTGGCGTCGAAAATATGTTTCATTGCTTAAAAGACACCAATAGGTTGTTAACATGCATCGGTGGGTATTGACTGATAAATTAGCCTAAAGTTAAAATTGAAGCACATATCTGTCGTATAGTAGTATAGATATGTCGAAATGTATTAGGTATTTCCACCCGCTGTATACAAATATTTTCCCCCTCAATGGCGGGCACTTGCAACACCTTCTGTTTAAGAAGGTGTTGGCACTTGCCCTCTTACGACATTGGTCACTCCAAGCCAGAAGTAGGGGCCATTTTATTGTGGAGGCACCTAAATAGACAGCCACCGTTACCTTCTATGAAGGGATAGATAATTTTGCATCCACACCTTCTCCGGGATTCGAACCCGGCCCTTTCGGTATTGCAGTCAAACTCCCCAAACCACCATACCGTCTGGGCGGCCGTATACGACTATTAAAAGTCGTGACTGGCTAAATCGCAGATTCAGACACATTTCTGAAGCTATGACGTTCACAAAGCATGAACCTATGACATTCACACGGCCGGCATATCTAACAACGGAAAAGAAACATCGTGGCATTTTCTAAACTTTTTTAATTAGTCATTGTTAATATAAATATGAAGTTTTCCATTACGTACTAATAGTAAACCAGTGTTAGACGTGGATATATATGTATATACATATATAGGCACAATGCTTTTAACAATTTCTTTCAGAATAAAAGATAAAATTAACATTCTGAAATTGGCAACAGAATGTAATATGGGAATTATTAGTTTGCCCAAAGGAGTTAGCTAAGGAGGGCTATTAATTTCCAAATATTAGAATATAATATAACAAATATTAAAGCCTGGCATTATGCTTAAAGAAATTAAATAATGAGGAATCTGCATGAATGTGTGTATGTTTCTCGCGCTGCGAAAAAACAATGGTACCTAGAGACACCGAATTTTCAATAAGTTGTCCTCCACTAGAATGTGGGCATCTGGAAGCCCGAATTTGTTTTATTATCTAGTTTAGGGTTTCTTAAACTTTTTTTTAGTCCCGACTCCTTTTTAACACTGAGATTTTTTCGCGATCCCCAGGACCCCATAATATTTACAACAATTTTGTGGGATCCCTCATAAGTATTGCGCAAACCCGACACACGCGTGAGTGAAACTCTCAATTTTTTCACTTGTACTGTAATATATTATTGTAATTTTAGGTCATTAACTTTAATTTCTAATTTTAAGACATAGAACAATGTGAAAGTTTTAAATATGTAACAGACGAAATGACAGCGTCACGCACAAAGGAAGGAAAATGAACATTTAAATGTATTATAAAAAGAAATGCGTCGAAACGTTTTCGTTTTTTTTCTTTACCTGTATTGTCTTAGCTTTATCTAATTTCAGATACCTTGTGTAAAATTATTATAATAAGAAATATCAAAACTTCTAAAATTTTTGGCAACCTCCCGCTGCAGGTCCCGTGACCCCCAAGGGGATCGCGACCCATAGTTTAAGTAACTCTGATCTATTTCATATTTTGTAAAACTTTAACGAATTTTTTTATTAAGAAGCTAAGCGACCTCAAAGCGAGCAATGGCAGCACTGTACAAGGAGGGGGGGGGGAAATTCTCTCCAGCGCACGAGACTGTGTATCGGAAATTCTAAAGATATGCTCATTTCAAAATTATTTTGCGATTCTACTGTTGAATTGAATTTTATGGTTTAAGTGCAAAGAACACGATGTTAATAAATAAAGGTAACACACGAAACGTTAAAAGAAGTCCCTTTGGGCATAATGTAAAATCTGAAAGCTTTCAGATTTTGATTTTAAATTTAAAATTCTGACTGAGATTTTCTTTCATATTTAATTATTATGTTACTGATTAACAAATTGGGTGATTTAAAAATTATACATGCAGTTTTTAGTAGTTTAAATTCGTATTACTTTTTTAAGTAACGTATCTTAAGAATATAAAATAAAATACATGGTAATTTTTAAGGTTTGGTGTAATTAACGAAAGATGTTTCTAAAGCCATGTTTCGTAATTAATGTAGAACTACCTTTCAAAATTTTTATAATGTTTTATTCTTTCTTTTTTATTTATTTATTAGTTTGAGCATATTACTTGTATGTCGACGATCAAGTTACGAAGATGCTACTGAAAATTTGAAATTATGTTCTTAAAAATAAAATTAGTGAATTTCATGTGTTATTCGTATCAAATAGACTATTGACGGTAAAACAGCGTTATTCCTACTATGAGTATTATATATTTATTTATGAATGCGTTACTAGATTTTTTATTCAGAATTAAAATAATATAATAAATAAACCAAATATGGAATATAAAAAGCTTATGACGTTCTTTGCATTTATGCGGGAAAAAAAATCGTATGTGTCTCATACTTACAGTTCATAAACGTGCAAGGGGTCCTATAAATATGTTATACGAAATTATGAATTAATTTCAAAATAAATGTATTTACCCTCGGCGGGACTCGAACCCGCAATCCCCGGTTTAGGAGACCGATGCCTTATCCATTAGGCCACGAGGGCTCCATAAGAGTATGTAATAAAATCGGTAAGGTTAAAAATTGTTTTTATGTACTCAGTATAGTGTTACGTAAAGAATGTTAAATTAGATTTAATAATTCCATTTAATTTTTTTATATTCCAGCTCAGATAGAAATTATTCCCTGCAAAGTCTGTGGAGACAAGTCATCTGGCGTTCACTACGGAGTAATAACCTGTGAAGGCTGTAAGGTATGGCTGTAAGGTTTATTCTCATAGACTAAACTGAATTTGATAATATTTGGTTCTAAATTTTTTAGTAATATTTTTCATTTGGAAGAGTATTTTAATAATTATTTCCTTATATTAAAAGATGAGTTGTTTAGCAGTTTATTTGATGAAGCAGTAGCTTAAATATGAACCTATAGATGGCGCCACAAGTCCTTGCATATGAGTTGAAGCATTTGAGAGATGTTTTGAAAGATAAGGAAGTTTTATTGGAGTTTAAATGCTTATGCAGCTTCATGTTAAGGAAGTTTTTATTACTCCCAGTTAACATATATTTTACGAACTGGTGGTTATCTGTTTCATCAAGTAAACGTTTAGTAATTCGACCGTCTTTGGCTTTAAAATCATTTGCAAACATGAGTTCTATGGCACAAAATTTGAGTGATACAAAATCACCTAACGTACTTATTTATACATCATATGATGTATTCGAATTGTTCAAGAAGGTAAAAAATAAGCTTCAATTATGTCTGCATGTGGATAAGTATATTACTTACCAGCTGACCGAAGCGCAAGTATTTAATACGCCTTGGAAAGAAAATACTACTTTGTTAGTTGTGTGTTGCGAAAATATATCAAACGAGTTAGCGAAATGTTTTACGGATTATGTTGAAAATGGAGGAAAACTAATAATCTCTTGCGCACGCTTTGATTCAAATTTAGCTGGTGTTGTATGTGAAAAAAAGCTGATGGAAGGCTCGATTGAAATTAAATATAAGCATAGTATGAAAATAGGTGCGTACCATTCATTATGTCGCTATAGTGTTTCAAAGCAGGAAGTACTTGCAATCGCCATGCATAATAATGCTCCAGTTATATTCAGATCAAATTTTGGGAAAGGAGTAGCCATATTTTCTGAGGTGTATTTAGGTAATGAGCCGTTGAATCTGCTTTTTCCTTATGCTGTTTCAAGAAAGAAGAATGATGAAAATTATTTGTTTATATTGAAGGATATATTAACCAAAGAATTAGGTTTAGAAGAAAATTCTTCAAATGTAATGCAGCCAACTTCTGGGTATATAGTTTGTCAAAATGAGCCATGCTTAAAGAAGGTTATAGATTCTTTAAAAGTTAAAGATATAACTATTAAAATGTCTGATCTGAAGACAGATGAAACTGATAGTGCACATTCAGATTCCCTCAAATTACTGCTTCAGTCTGATGATGGATCAGAAGAGTCTCTTTTATTTGACAAAATTCTATATTTTTCCCATTTGAATACGAAAATATTCGGTCGGGTTGTTGTTTTCTTTCCCGTGATTACCACAACTATGATCGCCAGTGAGTATTTTTCAGACTATGAAGGTTTAACTGTTATAGCTAGACGTCAGATAGGAGGACGAGGTCGCAGTGACAATAAATGGATCAGTCCTGAAGGATGTGCAATGTTTACGCTGCATTTTTCATTATCTCTATCTTCTAAACTTGGGCAGAAATTGTCTATATTGCAGCATCTTTCATCTTTAGCCATTGTCCACGGCATAAAAAAAATACCAGGTTTTGGGTATTTGGATTTGCGTCTTAAATGGCCAAATGATATATATTACGGTAAGGACAAGAAACTTGGTGGTGTTATAGCTCATACAACAATACAAGGAAATGTAGCACATGTGTATAGTGGATGTGGTATAAATGTCAATAACAGTCGACCAACTACATGTTTAAATGATATAATCAAATATCACAATGCTGTGCATTCTGATATATTACCATTACTTGAAACTGAACAAGTGATTGCTTGTACATTAACGGAAATGGAGAACCTGGTGCAAGATTTTGAAAAATCAGGACCTGAAGCCTTTAAAACACTTTACTATAAGTATTGGATGCATGACCATCATCGTGTTACACTTTCGTCTTCAGGTGAAGAGGGAACTGTTGTGGGACTTGATGATTTTGGTTTTTTAATGGTAGAGACTGATAAAGGAGAAAAATTAGTATTGCAACCAGATGGAAACCGGTTTGATATAATGCAAAATCTTATAATTTCCAAAAGTTAACTGCATTTAACGGGAGCAGAAACATCTCGCATTTAACGTGAGTTATAATTGTGTTTCATACGATTATTTTATTACTATTGTGAAATCAAAATGCATGTGTATCTAGAAACTTAAATATTTTCTAGAGAACAAATGTGTGCAGTAAAAAATTAAATATAGCAGAAACAAATTTTGAATAATCTAAAATTAGAGGAAAGTTAGAACTAAGTACTAATTTAGCTACCAAGTTCCAACCAGGTTCAACCTATCAAAAATTATTACTTGTGAAAGTTTGAGTTATTGAAGCTGTGTTGAATGTTTCTCTGCAGAATGGTCGGAAGTCCATAATGATTTAAAAAAATTATAAAAATAAAATAAACAAATATAACCGAATGAAATTTTAACTGGACTGAGAATTTTCAAGAGGCAAACATTTAGTGCAGTTTTTCATTGCTAGGGGGCACAAAAGTATGTGAAGAGTGATGGTCACAATCAGAGTGGCATTGAAAACAATAATGAAGGTGTTTTTCATTGACTATTTATCTTTTTAGCATGTCGGAAAATTTGGCTGCTAACAAACTGCTTCTCATTGCTCTGACTGCAATTATTAGTGTTGGTAAGGTGCAGTGCCTTCTCTTTGTGAAAAGTTGGAACAAAATTTTTCTCTGCTGTCTCCCTCTGCCCTGCTCATCTTTTGATACAATTTCTTGTAAACCACTAGTCTCAAACTGGCAACCCACGGCCTGCATACAACCCTTGAATAAGTTTATTGGCTTGTGACTATATTTTGGTTATGTGTTTGTTGCAAAATTTCAAGATTTTCAATTTTACATTATTTTCATTATCATTAAAAACAAGAATAAACAACACATCAGAAAATCTATGAATTGAGCTAATTAATTTACGGTGTGATTTAAAGTTTGTTCAAAGACTTGAAATACATATCTGATTAACTGTTACTGGTAAACTGTCAGAAAATAAATATTATGCTTTTTTATGAATTTTTGCACTAAGGATTATCACTTTGTTTGGAAATACATTTATTTGTGAACAGTGTTTCTTCAAAGTTGAAATTAATAAAAAGGGACCAAATAAGTGATAAGCATCTACAGTCCATGATAAGGATAATTTCTAGTGATTTTTCTCTAGTACACAAACGTTGTATAAAAAAAATTTGCTTTTAATCTTAGTATACAGTACACATGGTAATGGGATTTGGCAACATTATTGATGAGCAGTAAACATGGTTTATATGATGAATAGTAAACGAGTCATTTTGGTGTTAGTGACAATTTCAAAATCCTGTCAGGGCTATGCTGTATACTAGGATTTTATCAAATTTTGTATTTATGCATACATAATTTATAATTTAATTCATGAGAGAAAAATTTTATAAATAAGAAGAGACTAGATTGTCATTATTAAGTTTTGTCTAACTTAAAAAGTTTTCATAATTTGTTTATTTTTAGTTTAATTAAAGTAAGTTATTTAATGATCAATTAAACATGTTAGAATTATTTGAAAGAAATCTCCATTTGAAATATCAATATATTTATTTGTCAGTGTGGTTGAATTACAAGGTGTAACAAATAAAAATATCTCGCAGGTACCAAACTTTCGATTTCAAATAGAAAATAAATGCCAATTTGAATTTTTTTTCTTTTGCATCATTATTATTATTTTCTATGTATGTTTTAATAAATATTTTGTAAGTGAATTCATCACATTTCCAAAATTAGCTGTGATTGTATGTTGAGTTTAACTGTTAAACTGAAATTATATGGTAAGCCTAGAGTACACTTTGCTGTTATGGGCATAGTTGCTGTTAGTTATATATGGTACTATGTATTGTTTAGTTATTATTATACTATAATCTTTATAGTATGAGAACTATAAAGATGATAGTGTGTTTCAGCAAATCAGTTACGAACTTTCAGAAGAGATTGAGTACACTTAGATGATGGAAAATAACATAGCAAATTCATGGTTGGAAATACTTTTTTGGCGCAGTAGTGATGACACAAAAAGACAAGGCCATGAATAGTGTGACAAAACGTGTTTTATTATGTTTAGTACAGCAGAAACCGTATAAGAACAAAAGCAGACAATGATCGTCATTAACCCCTTAAGGCACACATTAATTTCTAATTTTCGGTCAAAAAATCACCTATTTTTTTTCTTGCATAATCATATTCTCAAAAAATCACCTATTTTCACCTATTTCAAATCGAAATCTCGGTGGTGCAACGTTTGGTTGATTTATACTAATTTGATACCAATTCCTTGCTATATCCAAAATCTCGTTGTCATTATCTTCCGATTTACTTCCATCACTCAAGAAATCATCACTCTCATCGCTGAAACTGTCTGATAAATTGGCATATTCAAAATTGTCATCGTCAGAGTCGCTCATTATCAGATAACTTTTTTTTTTAAATTACAAAAACACTTAGTAATATATTTGCAGTTAACTGCTTACTTTTATTATGTTTACGTAATAAAAATGGATATATACTTACCTTTTCCACACCAAAACGACTACTTTATAGCAAAGAATTCCTAGCAAACTTATTAGCTAATCATCAAAATGCGCCATGTGGTTTACACAAGAAAAATGCTGAATAGTGGTGCCATCTATGTCAAATAAGTTTAATTATAATCTAGCCTATTTATTTTTACTGGAACGGATCTCAGACAAGCATTAGAAATAAAATAACGCAAGATACAAGGGCGCCCGTGTGAGACACGGGCAAATGCGTTAAGGGGTTAAAAAAGGTGCTGGAAATTACACCCCAGATTGTGATGCAGGCCTCACGTCTCAAGTGCATGGAAGATCTACATGACACGCTGTTCCTGCATCACGCATCATTCTTGCATCCTTGGTGATAATTTCGAACACATTCTTTGATGACCATCGTCTGTTTTTGTTCTATTTCTTGGTTTCCACTGCACTAAGCATAATAAACATTATTCTCTCCTGTTTGTGTCCTTCCTTTCTTGTGCTTTTTGTAGTCACTATCATGCCAGGTGCTTCCATACATTGCTATGAGTTTTTCTGTCGTCTAGATGTATCCTCTCTCCTAAAAAATTGTAATCGATTTGCTGAACCACCCTGTATGTGATCTATTTTTATTAGGGGGTCAGGAATTTTTTTTGGTAGGCTTGTAAGTATTTCCTTATTAAAGCGATTAATTTCTGAACAGAAATCATCAAGTCTTTGAAACATGTAACACTTCAAATATTGCTCAAAACTTATTTGATACTTTTTGTTCTTGGGCCAGAGTATGCACATTTATATAAATATGATCCTGAAGAAACACTAATTTGGTAGCTTTATTATTTTAATAAAGAAATACTGATTTCTCGAAGTAAATTTTTACTTTATGAGAGGTAGTACTCATATTTTCAGTTTTCAGAGAAAAAACATTTATATTTAAAATGCTTTATTGTGAGAGATAAATATGATGAATAAAATTGATATTTCTTTTTCATGAAATTGTCATCATTCATTTCAACTTCATTTTTAAAGCACAATTATATTATTCACTGTAAGCAGAAAGAATATATATATATAATTTATCTTAATTTTGTGGTTAATATACTTTGACAGCTCATGCTTTTGTATCCAATTTTGTATCCAAAACTAACAGCAAAATGTATAACAATACATACAATAATACGATATGTATATACTACAATACAACTAAACTAGATATTACATACAGGGTAAATGAAATAATTTGTTAAATCATGATTATGGAAATTTTTTAATAACAAGCACTAATTGTGATGTAATATACATATTTATGATATATTTTTGTATCAGCTAAACTATAAAGCTATTGTAATAATAAATACAAAAATTATTCAAAATAAATTAGTACCTTTTAATATTTATAACATGATTTCTGCTCTTAAAAATCTTTTAAAGTGTCTTCCATTAAAATCATTTAAAAAAAAAGTTTCCTCTTTTGCTTTAGGGTTTCTTTCGAAGAAGTCAGTCGAGTGTTGTAAATTACCAATGTCCCAGACAGAAAAACTGTGTTGTAGATAGGGTGAACAGGAACAGATGCCAGTATTGCAGGTTACAAAAATGTCTTGCTCTTGGAATGTCAAGGGATGGTAAGAATGTATTTGCAGTATTGCTTTAATATAACTTATATGCATGTTAGCTAAATTGCAATGTAATTTTTTTAAGTTTTGTGGTTCTGAATATTTCTTATATGATATTTATTAGCTCTTTCTTGCCCCCCTCTATTTTTTAATATATTTGACAAGTATATGTGTAGCAGCTTAAGTAAGATATTTTAATGTACAGTATTTTAATTAAATTGCAGTTTGTTTGCATGTATATCTCTATTTCTTATTCCAGATGTTGGTTTATACAAATTAGACAGTACCTGTAATGTTATGTGAAAGGAATATAAAAATAGGTAGCCATTAATTATGCTTTATATTAGTTTAAGTATTTACATGCAAACTAATTTTATTTTTCAAATTTTCTGAAAAATTTGTTCAAATTTTTAATAAATTTTATTAAAATAATGCTTTTTATCAAAAACTATAAAGTTTTCTTCACAGTTTTCAAAGCATGAAGTCGAATGTGATGGTTTTTAAAAATAGTATTCTGTGGTTTTTCCTAGAATAAAGTACAAAATGCATCTCACCTAAATTCCACTTTATTTGACAGAGATTCAAAGTAGCCTTTATTGAAAATGTTCATTGAACTGATTACTGAAATTAACCATGATTTAAAAATATATTTGCAACATGAAAGAAACGTATCATGATAAATAACTTCCTACTTTTCTTTCCCCCCCTTTTTTTTTTAATGTTTTTTCTAATCTAGTGGCTTTAGTGGAAGATATCCTTAGAATAATGTGCAGACTATGCGTTGTCTCATGAATAGTTTTGGATTAGCCAGAAGTTACGTTTGTTACTTCCGTTCAACTAATTATTAGACCCTTCCTATGGCTTTTGAAGTGTCAGTGCTATCTTAACATAAGCAGATATTGCATAAGGATTGTGTGCATATTGGATCTGTTTATATTTTGACAAATTTTTTGTAGTCTCATAACAACACAAATGCCTTTCTGTTCATGATTATATTTGGAGAGCTGTGACTCTAGTGCAAATGATACCATTTTGTGTTGCTGCTCCCCATTTTGAATCTGAATACCTTGTTAAAAAGAATCGGAAAGTTTTGTACTCCTTTTCCTCTGCAGCAGCATTTTAAAAGGCCTTTTAATGAATTAATATTGCTGTTGCACAAAGATGCCTCAGAGACGATTGAGATCTGAGTCGTATACATAGTGATCACCATTAAAACATGATTTTCTTTTGACCTTCCAGCATGCGCTCTTCACATTTGTTACAACATATGTTATTTTGCCGTTTTTGGCACGAAAAACAACAGAAATGGATGAATATTGATAAAAAATTTCTTAAGAAATGAAATATTAACCTTATTATTGCAAAATACAAGTGATGCCGCATTCAAAGGAAAGTAAATTATTTTTAAATATTTATATTAATCAGTTGGAAAGGCAATGATTTATTTCATTATAAAAATTAAAAATTTATTCTTTAGTAACTATATTTTAAAATCCAAGCTAGTTTTAATATTCATCTGTCCTGTATTATCAATGAATCGAACTGATTTATCAATGAATCGAAACAATTTGTCAGAAATAAAACTCTCTTGTAGCTCATCACAGCTCTTGTTATTTTAGTTCCAATGCCATCACTTCAGAACAATTCTTTTACATTTATGTGCTGTCCCTTTTTTATTCCTAGCATATATATAACAATCCAAATTATGCCATCATTTCCACTCTTGAGATAACAATGCAGTCTCTGTCTCTTGAGTATTTGCCTTTTGGCAAACTTATATATTTATCTGTTCATTCAAAAATTTCATCAAGCATATTTATATCAATTATTTTCAAAAATGATCCTATTTCATTCTCTATATCCCTGGCATGGGGTTTTTGACCAGGTAACACTTTCACACTATTCATTTTATTATTCATTTTATGAGCAGTTTGGATACTTCTTCTTTTTCTTCATCAGATAATTCTTGAAAACTGCAAGCAAAATTAGCTTTTTGCAGATATTGTTTTTGCCATGAAAACCAATATAGAGTCAAATTTATCCAAATTAAAATAATACATGTCAATTAATAAAACAAAATAAAAAAATAGTTTTCGAAATTTCACCCACGGGCATGTCGTAACTTTTACGAAGAAGCTGTCACATAGCACAAAAGCCCAGTTAAAAAAAGGGGGCATATGACTTCCTATTGGTGCATTCCATGATGTGGGGAAAGGTTGAAAGGAGGAATAGAAATGACTTCCAGATATCTCAGCTGCGATATGCGAAAAATGTGCAATAAAAATCAAATTTGTCGTAAACTTTGCGTGCTGAAAATTTAAACATACTTAAATAAGGCATTACTCCAATTTTGAAAAATAAAAGTTTTTTGTAAATTGAACTAAATGTCAATAGGTAGAACTCAAAACCAGAATTAATATTCCCATATAAGTTGAATTTTTGATTGCTGAAATCTTTTTTTCTCCTTTTCTTCAGTTTTGTCTTATGAAAGTTTGACTGTCTGTATATGCAAATGAGAAAATGAACTCATAAAAATCTGCTGTCTGAAAATGCATTATTTATCCTGTCTAATTATTCGGTTGTTAAAGGGAAAAATATATTGTTTATATTTTAAAATTGTAGTTTTTTTATTTTAAATAAAGCACTAATATGTTGCACAAGATTATGAACATTCTAGTTTAATATGGTATTTTTTAACATGTTAACTTGAATGAAGATTTCAATATATATTCTATGTCAAAAAAAATGAAACTGTTTATTGGGTTTCCCTTGTGCAGCATACTGAGATATAGACTGGCTGAACCAAAAATTTTTTAACTTGAAAGTTCTCCGACTATTGAAAAATCTCCAACATTCAGTTCAAGTATCTGTAATATCCATATTTTCTTATTTTGTTATCCTGATCTATTTTAACGCATAAATAAAAAAAAATTTCAGCTGTCAAGTTCGGTCGAATGTCAAAAAAACAGCGAGAAAAAGTAGAAGACGAAGTTCGGTTTCATCGAGCGCAACTAGTCCGTCCTCAAGGTACGGCACCGTCCCACTCGACGCCACAGCCCACAGAGACTTCTCCAGACAGTTCTGTTTTCGACCATCAGCAGCAGCCGTCCTCATCCAATCAGCATGTCTCCTACATCAACAGCGGGTCAGTATCTTCATTTCCTGTGCTGTGTCAATGCTTGATATATTTGGGTTTTACAGTCAAAAGTCGTTAATCCGGACTCGTCGGGACTTCGGCGATTCCGGATTATCGATTTTTCCGGATTATAGATCATCAGTTTAAATCTCGTAAGATGGCATGCAGAAATTCTAAAATTAAAAATATGAAACCGTAATTTATGAAATAAAGAACAATTATGATCTAAAGGGTATCAAAATTTACAAAAAAAAAAAAAACCTTAATATTTATTTGTTTACTTTATTAAACATTTCTTTCAATGTAAGTTGTTTAAGTTGCTTCATTTTATGTGATAATACTTTCTCTTTAATTCTATAAACAGACATAATTTCTTGTTCAGTTACAAAGTTCACTGTTCAAGTCCCGTTAATTGCTGTGACGAGAATACCGACTAACTTGTCAATCGAAATTTTTTCGTTTTCACTAACCTCTCTGTCACATTCTTCATGTCTTTATCCATTTTTTGCAGCAATTCCACTTTTTGTTTGTTGGACATGGAAACATACTTTCGTTTTGTAGATCCTTTGGAAGTTCCAGCATCGGAAATTCTATTTGACATAATCGAAAGTTCAAGTTTACTTTTATAAAATTGCTCTTACAGTCTGCAAAAAATAATAAGCGGGATCCAATTTGAAGATTAAGGAACAACGCAATCATTAACATTAAGTGAAATAGATAATTAGATAATTTTAGCTTACACCGTCCGTTATACATTAAACGCGCAGGCTAAAACATATTCTGCACTAGCGCACACGCATATGCGCAGTAGTCAAGGCCTTACGCACACGCGTAAAACGTCTGTGCGCATGTGCCAACGCGGCGCATGCGCAGAAAGTTTTTAGCTTTGAGGTCCGGATTATAGATCATTCCGAATTATGGGTGTCCGAATTAACGACTTTTGACTGTATATGTATTAAGGGTTCTCAACTTTTTTTGCTCCATGCATCACTTTTACTATTGCTAGATGATCATCCCCATCCCAATTATAAAACTAAAAAAAATGCATGTACATTTAGTTATATTATTTTTAGTGTGTTTTATAAATTAAACAAGAAGTAGTGTAGGAAATGTTAAATACCAAAACTTGAATAAGTGTTTCTATGTTCTTAAAATAAAGCTAAATATTTAACAGGTAACTAAAAGGCTAACCACATTCCTTCCTGTGAAATTATTAAATTCATATTCCCCCTAGAGGGAATTCTTCCCTGAATGAGAGCCCCTACTCTATATGCTTTAAAGAATGTAATGCTTGGCTAAAAATATGTTAATTTAAACTGCAAATAAATCTGTAATTCTGAAAGGGAGGGCATATCAATGCTGACAAATTTTTAAGGAGAATAAAAGAAATGTTCCCCATAAAAAAGAATCATAAATGAATTCAAAGTTTTGTACGTACTACGTTATTAATTTTATGTATGAGAAAGAGTATTAAGGCTGCTTAGTAAAAGTGCACAGCTGATGCAATTGAAGAGTAAGCAAAAAATATAAAAAAATTGAGAGAATATAATTAAAGTTGAAAATTTGTAAAGATTTGTCTCCAGAAAGATGGATGGCTAGAAATGGAACAAATATATATATATATATATATATATATTTTACAATAAAAAATTAAATGACACTTATACAAAGTGAATATTAAATGCTGGGGTACACTAAAATCTGTGTCTGTGACTTTACCTATGGCACATGGTTATCCTGGAATCCACTTTGGCCCATACTTGCACATTGTAGCCTTGGCATTATGCAACTTCAGTTCTTTTAGAGACTGAGTAGAACTTTGATAGTTCGACCTGGTTCAGATCCAACAAATGAGCTGGTTGCATGGGTGTTTTCTTAGTGTTCTGTATCTGTAATGTTAATATGAGCCAGTTTCCCTTGTAAAGTCCTTCACTGAGGGTATACCTTCCTTTTATGTAGGCTGATACCCCTTATATGCTTTGTTATGAACTATTATAATGTAATCCAGTCCTTTAAATCTGGAAATGGTTGGCATAGATATTGCAGTATAGTGCCAGAGCAAGAATTCACAGTAAAAGTTTACAATAGGGTGCCCCTTGATATTTTTGATGATTTTTATGACATCAAAAAGCAATGTTTCGAAGACGGCTGTCATCCAAAACAATGCTGAAAACATATGTTACAAAAACAACAAAAGTATTCACCTTGTGTATTCACAGTCATGTCTCATCGTCAGCATCGGATGACTGCTGCACATGCATAATGCAAATCATCATGTAGTCCCGGAATTGATCATCTTTCTTCTGATCCCAGTATTGGCAGTGCCACAAAAACTCCACAAAGTAGGAATAAAAGATTTCATTCAACAACTGGCGAAGATGCCACATGTAAAACTCATGCTTAATGTGCCTTCAATGGAGTTGGTATGAGCACTAGTTTCGAGTGTCTTTCTCGTGACAGACCCACTCATAGCGATCCAATTGATTGTAAAAATTAAGTGTACTAGACACATTATAACCAGTAAATAATTATAATTTCTTTATAAACAATTTTAAATAAATACATTTTCTTCTTCTTTTCAACAGTGTTCTGTTGAATTTTAAATTTTGTCTGCAAACTTGATAAAAAATGAAGCATTGTTTATAGTGCTACACAGGCATAAAACATATCGCTGAATATTGTAACATGTATATCTAAACTAATTCACATGATGGATAAAGAATGCAGTAAATTTGGGAGCTTTCATGAATGGCCTGTATGCTTTGTCAGTTGAAATTCAAATGGTGTGTTGTTATCCTTAAGCAACTAAAATTTTCTGAACATGATGAAGCATAAAAATTTCACTTCTGTCTTTTATGTTATCATATCAAAATCAATGTCTTTTATTTTAGCATATAAAAATCATATTAAAAAAGTCACGTCTTCTTTTGTAAAACTTGCATGTGGCGATCTCGAGAGCCAGCTCACAAATTTGAAAAAGTCAGAAAGAATTCTTAAACCTAGCGTATGAAAGCTATTTTACACTAGTGATAGAGAATTTGACTCGATTGAAACAGACCTAAGATCAAATCCCAAGGTCATTAACATCTTCGAGGGCATGCAAAACTCGCTTCTCATGGTGCTAATCAATGGCGATATGAGCAAGCGTCTACAATACCCAAAGCCACCAAGGTCTCTTGCACATAGGTGGTCACAAGGTCTCATTGCTACAGTATCATATCAAAATTTATTTCCGGGGGGGGGATCTTTTTTCGGTGTTAACTAAAAACATATCAGTTTCAAAAAGAAAGTTTTATTGAATAATTATGCCAGAAACTTACCCAGAGAGTAGAAAAGTAACATGTATGAAATTGCTTTATGCTGTTGAAGATACTTTTATTACAGGCTGATCTTTTTGTTTTTTGACCCTCATTGCATGTTATTTTCATTATATTTCATGCAAAGCTACGAGGGCCATCCAGGAAGTAGATTACGTTTCCGTCTGTGTCCGCTAGGGGCGGGGCTAGCGCGGCCATCTTGGGGTCAGAGCGTTGCGCAGCTCAGTCTGCATCTAGCCGTGCTAGTGAGAGGTTCGTGCTGTGCTCCGTTCAGATACTGTGACGGTTTGAAATGTCTGCGTTAATTGAAAATCCCGCGAGCTGCGAGGTGCGCTCAGTAATAAGGTTTCTGACTGCAAAAAACTGTAAACCGATAGAAATCTATCGGCAGCTTCGTGAAGTGTTATGGGGACAACATTATCACTGAAGGTGGAGTGTGCGTCAGTGGGTCATAAGATTTCAAAATGGCCGAACCAATGTTCACGAAGATCGAAGTGGGAGACCCAGCATAGTGAACCCGCCGAACTTCTCGAAAAAGTCGATGCTAAAGTCCGTGAAAATCGAAATTTCACAATAACGGAACTTTCTTTGAGTTTTCCACAAATTTCGCGAAGTTTGTTGCACGAAATCATCAGCGAAAAGCTTGGTTACCACAAGTTTTGTGCAAGATGGAAGGCAAGAAGAGGTAACGAAGTGGGTTGAAGAGGCGCGGCGGGCCGAATTTTTCGACGAAGGAATTTCCAAGCTCGTACATCGCTACGATAAATGCCTTAATTTGTATGGTGACTATGTAGAAAAGTAGTATTTGAGTGTGGCTTTCATCTGTATATAATAAAATTTGTTTCCTATACTTTGTTTATTTTTTTATTCCAAAACGTAATCTACTTTCTGGATAGCCCTCGTATTTTAAATTTAGGCAAAGAGATATTCTTGTGTTTCCTCAAGAACTGAATTTACTAGATATTGATTATATTCAAAAGTATCTCAACAGACTTATCTGCATCTTGCATATTGTTGACCTTGTTCATTGTATGATCTCACATAAGATATATATTTGCAGTCTTAAAGAATTTTGTTCTTAATTTGTTTGCACAGATTTCATACATTACAGTTGTATTATGGAAATACCAGGTTCCTACTTCTTGAAAATATCTCATATGAAACAAGTGAACCAATCCTTTACATGCTAACTGTTTTTGTAATTTATTCTCAGCCAATTCAAAATTTTGACCCTGGCTCGAAGTAATATTCCATGTTAAAGTTAGTTACTCTGAACTAAAGTTTATCATTGCTGTTTTTCAATGTCATCTTAAGTTAACTTGCTTTTCAGTTTAGGTAAAGAACATTTCGTTGTAATTTTTTGCTAAAGCTACTTTTTTCCTTAATGTTCCATTCAGATGGTGATATAAATGTCATAACTAGTTTAAGCCAAGCTTCGTTCCTAGGTAGCCAGACCTTGCTACTTCACAAAAACTAGTTTAGGGGTTTTGGCATAAAGTTCGAAGTTTCAACCTTATGCCAACTTAGTGTAAGAGTCGACTTATCAGAGCGAAAGTGTGAAACCTACTGAGCGGGAAAGCTGTAGACACAATCCATGCATGCACAAATTTAGCGTCTCTAATTTGCTACAGTTTAGACCCTGTCTCACAGGTGTGAACGGAACTCCCACATTTTATGATTTATGACTATGCCTCTATGACATTTATATCACCATTTGAGTAGAGATTAACATATATATTGTATTTAGTGACTATAGGAAGTGGTGATCTAAGTTTTAGAGAAGCATAGTGTTATATTACAGGGACTCCAATGTGTAAAGGCTTAATAATGTTATTTTTCCTAGGAAAGAAGAAAAGTATTGTATTGGCTGTTAATAACTGCGTTATTTGTAAACTTATTATTCTGCATATACGCTTTACATGTTATTGCTTGAAGGAATGCTGTCTTGAAGATAACATGCTTGACATTATTTCACTAATATAGTGACTAATATAGTGACTGTTGCTAATGAAACAGATAAATGTTTAAAGTTACTCTAATATAGTATGTTGTATTCTTTTTTCATTTGAAAATATTGAATTTCTTTAATACACATCTGGAAATGTTTGCTTTTTTCTAGGTACAATTATAATGGTGATCTTAACACATTTACCACAAATGGTTACACGTACACACCCCAAGCAATACAGTTTGATCTCGGCAGCACTGATTTTGTTGACAGCACAACATTTGACCAGCAGCAGCAGCTAGAACCAATACCTGATGCAAGCAGTCTTCTCATAGCAGTTGTTCCACCTGGGCCTATGACAACAAATTCTCATTTAGGTTGGTATTTTTGGTCAGATTTATATGAAATTAAATGTTATTTTGTGTTGAGTGTAAGATTACTCTTGTACCAAAATTCGTATTTGTTCATATCTTGTGTGCATATGGAAAAATTAAGTGTTTAATTGTGACTATAAGATTGCATGTGTACTTATTTGGCAACAGTTTTCTAGAAACATCATGATGTTTCTACTGAATGATTGTAAAAGAAAATAATTCTCTTGAAACTTTACTCAAATTACTTGTAATGAGGTATTGTAGAAGAATTGTTGATTTCGTGGTGTCAGAAATTCTAAATTATCTCTTGTTAAATTGTTGACAAAAATATTTAATTATGCAGCATGTACATTTATACATTAAATACCTTAAATCACTAAATATTTTTTATGTAAACTATCAAAATGCATTTTGGGTATGTGGAGCACAGTTATTAGTGAAAAGGAATTTCTGTGCTTTTGTGGAATTTTATAAATGTAGAATAACTAATATTTATTTTTCTTAAGCAGTGAAAGCAAGAAAAATCCGTTACCTCTTATCAAAGTATATTTTATTATTAAGCGCACTGAAATTTATATTTCCTTAAATAACACCAAAATATGAGGAAATATGCTACTTCAATTTGAGTTATTTTAAAATTCAATTGTTACTTTTGAACTTTTTTTATTGTGCATTTTAGGAGGAAAGAACAGGTGGGGAGAAATTTGTTAAAATACAGATATATAGGAATGGAGAAAAATATTGATTAAGTAAAATAAATATTGATTTTTATAAATTAAGAACTAAGTATATGGAATCAAGTATGCAAAACCTTCGTTCCCTAAGCTTGCAGGAACCTTATCCTTGATTCAGTCATCATGCTATGGTGTTCCCAAGTACACTCAATGTCCTCAAATATTTTGTGTATGTGATTAGCCAGAGTGCTAGAAATAAAGAACTTCAGTTTTCACTGTGGAGAATATTTTCCTCCTCCTCCATCAAAGCAACTGCTAGCAATCAGTGATACTGAAGAAGTAACCACAGGAATTTCCAAATTCAGGGAGCACTACTGAAGAACAAAACTTCCCCACTCTTCTTTGGATGCTTGTGATGATTTAGAAGTTATTTGGAAGCAGGGAAACTAAGTATATTTGAAGCGAAAGACAGAATTTTTCCAGACTGGTTTTTACTTAACTGCTTATCGCTGTAGAACAAAATTCATGAAAAGAATAAACAAGAAATAAATTTTGATATTTTTGAATTGAAAAGTATGAAAAATTTGTTGGATTACACTTCTTGATAATTTTTGTAATTTTATTATTTTTATTACATGACTAAATTAAATTAAATTTTATAAATATAATTTAATTAATATTTGAATCAAAGTATTTACTATTTGTAGTAACATAAATGCAGATGCTTGTTTCTAGGGTAAATTTCTTAACTGAAGCACTCTGTTTAATGGACTTTACTCACATTTTTGAATTTTTGTGAAATTTTGCAACAATATTGTAATCTTAATGGTAAAAATAAAATAAAAATCTCTTAGACCAATGACAGGCATTGACTTCATCTTGCCTGTTGTTAATCTGTAGACCTGATCTGAGCAGTTTATTTAGAGGTCAGGAGAATAGTAATGATAACAATTATTATTTAAAAAAATTATAAAGTAATATTATTGATATGAATATTATTTTGGGAAAAATACGTATTAAAGTATCTACGTAAATTTTTTGCTTTTATTAATATTTTTGTATTTATTTTTTTCATTCTCCAGAACTCTTGACAAAGACACTAACTGAGGCGCACACAAGAACATGTCTCTATACCACAGAGCAGGTTGCTGAAATCATGAGGAAGCCCCATGATGTCACTTCCATACTCTGCTATAAAGGCATGGTAAGATGCAGGACAAAATGTCCTACTTGTTCTTTCTAATTTAAGCACAGATATATTAAATAAGGAAAAGACTGTATCATGAAGCTTTCATCTCATTTTGTGTTTAGTAATTATGTGTGAATAGAACAGTTTTGTTGATGGAATAAATACTTACATTTTAAGTGATCCAGTCAACATATTTTTCTTGAATTATTTACTTGTCTAATCTGTTCATTTAGCAGTTTCTATTTGGCTTATTCATTATGAACATGTCCCAAAATAATTATTTTATCTGTCTGTTTAAAATACGCATTTTTGTTGCCGATGATTATTTTTTTTTTTATTTGTTGAACCGTTACTCTAGCATTTCTTCAGAAAGTCTCATGTATGGTTCACTTTCATCTTTTAACTAAATATTTCATCAACTATTTACTCTTTTGAAACCAAAAGTTTTTAACTTATAAAGGAAAATTGAATAGTCTTGCCATAGAAATTTGTTTTGCAACTCAGATATTGTTAGCTGAGTATGAAAAACCTGAATTTATGTATTTAAATATCTGTTTCTAAAAAACAGGAAAATTTCGTAATACATATATTTTTAAGAAAGTAGTAAAAACAGTATTAATGCAGGTATGAGATCATTTTTATGATGTTTTATTAAAGTAAAGACATATATATGTGAATTTTTCGGAATGTTAAACTAGTTCACTTTTTAGTCATGGCCGAAATGTTGCAGAGATAAGTAACTCGCACACAAATAAGATGCATCATGGAGGATAGTTTGAAAATGTTGTGTAGATGGAAAGATAAACTTGCAGACAGATGAGGCCAAATTCAACGTGGTTTTGTTATTGAATAAAGAATTTCTGAAGATACAATATATGCTTCACACATGATTGTTGGTGCAACGGCCACCTCACGACTATGTATGCAGTCACATTCTAGAACAGTGGAAGAATGCAGTTAAACAAAGAGATTTATTTAGCAAGAAAGTTTAGGCAGCAAAAGAGGATGTGTGCAAGGCAGGGAAGGAAAGTATACATCAATGCAGATGTTGAAGGAGGCTGTACTTACATTTTACATCAGAAATTTATAGGTCTTTTGCGAAAATTTTTTTAGTCATGGTTTTTTATATTTTATACTTTTATACTATACATAGAGAGAGAGGTAATGTATTTTTATTTTTAGTATTGCCTGAATAATCATCGTGCGCATATAGATCCATTTGAAAATATTAACACAAACATTGGAATAATATAAGATATAATAATATGAACACTGGAATATTAACATACAGTAGATTTATATATTATATAAAATTTTATCTAAAACTGTAAAGGGGTTTTTCCTGGCTGAATTCCAAATTTATAAGATAATTTCCCTTGACTTTTAGTTGCAGTATTTTAGAAATTAAGAGTAATAGAAACTTAAGACAAGATAACAATAGCTTTCTATTATGGAAGCAGAATTTTTCAATGTAGAAACAAATATTTGATGTCATATGAATTATGAATGAATTTAATATTTTTTAAAATTAGTATACTTATTGACTTTTATATGGCTAGCAGCCTATGATATGTATCAGCAAGCTACAGCAAAATAGCAATTCTGCCATCTAATATCATCTTAAAATAGTTAAGCTCACATTAATATTTTGTAAAATGCATCTGAGAGTTTAAATAATATTATTATTTTCTTAGATTGATGAATTTTCTTCTGTTAGTGTTTTCATGTGAATGCCATGACAAGTCCTAAATTTTTCAAAAATTTTCTAAAAATTCATGAACTTTATCCCAGTGGATATATGTATATGTAATGTTATTAATATATAGCACATACTAAGTAAAATTGTAAGCTTTTTAAATCAACTATTGCTTAAATATTAATATTCAGTAGTTGTTTTGGCTGAAGCTTATTTTTCAAGCTCCATCTTAATTTTTTGTTTGATAAGTTGACCTCCAATAAAATGATTGTTAAATAAATCTTGTAATCAGTTTCACTAAAATATATTTTTTATTGCTGAATTCAAACTGAGGCATATTAAATGCTGGATTTATGCTGGATTACTTTGATATTTGTTTAAATAATAATTATTTTTTATTTAGTCTAGTAAAGAAACAATATTTTGACTTTATTTTGAACCAATTAACTTAAAATAATTGAAAACATATATTCAGTATTGTATTAAGGAAAAGAGGGTAAAATTAATTAATGCTTTAAAGTTGTTTGACATGTATTTAGAACCAAAGAAGAATGCACAAAATAAATATTAAGGAATGAGAAAGAGAAGGGAACCAATCCATGTTTGTATTAAGAAAAGAAAAAAGTGTAACATTAGAAACATTGAAATTACAGAAGGGGGAAAAAATTACAAGTGTCATATACCAGCCATTGCTTTGTATGGGTATTTGTAGTTGTTACAAAATGGAATAAGATTGCCCTCTGCGTAGGTGCTTTTTGTACTTGAACAAGAAAGTTGGGAGATAATATACAGTGGATGTTATAATTCTGTAATGCATGCCATCAAAATCATTCTAATACATGATCTATAATTTTACAGGATCATGAGCAGATGTGGTTAGATTGTGCTCAGAAGCTTACAAACATCATTCAACAAATCATAGAATTTGCCAAAATGGTCCCAGGCTTCATGAAACTTTCACAAGATGACCAGATATTATTACTCAAAGCAGGTACAGAAAATGTATTTATAAAAAAATATTCATGCTGTTTGTTATTAATTGTATTTTAATATATTTTAACAGTAGATAGATTATAGTTATAGATTTCAATTATGTATGGATTTTGAAAGAAAAAAAATGCACTAAGATATTTTATGTATTTCCATTAAAGTTGAAAAATTAGTCTAATATTAAAAAATTGAACAATTATAATTGGAACACTTTGAAAAGCAGTTTTGTTATTCTTGTAATCATTTTATTTCTGAAAAAAGGTCTAAACTAATTATTTTAATTACAATTTGACTATTTCTTGTTTTATTTATTGTCATGATAAATTAATGAAAATACGTAGCGTATTCGGAAACTAAGTACCGTTTCATTCTAGCACTGTCGCAGTGCTGTGGTAGGCGTTTCGCGCATTCGCACTAGTCTTTCTTGTTCACTGACTTTCAATTGTCACCATTTTGGTTGCTCTATGTTCTGTTTTCAGTTTGCTGTGCACATTCAAAATGTTTAAGACAATTAGTTCTCCCGCTGACTGTGAGATTTGTGCCGTGATTAAATTTTTGAATGCAAGGAATGTTAAACCGGCCGAAATTTATCGTCAAGTGACAGAAGTTTACGGTGAATAAGCGATAAGTGATGGAATGGTGAGAAAGTGGGTAAGAATGTTTAATGCAGGTCGAACAAATGTCCACGCCGAGGCTCGGAGTGGTCGGCCTTCTGTTGTCACCGATGATTTGGTTAGGAAAGTTGATGAAGCAATTCATGAGAACAGACGCTTCACAATGACAACTCTTTCAGAGGCATTTCCACAAATTTCACGTACTGTTTTGTTCGAAATTGTGTTTGACTGCTTCAATTATCACAAACTGTATTCCCGATGGGTTCCAAAAATGCTCACTGATGTTCACAAAACAAAGCGACTTAGTAGTGCCCTGACATTTCTCACACGGTAAAGTGATGAGGGAGAAAACTCTTCAAACCAAATTGTGACAGGTGATGAAACTTGGGTGTGTCATTTCACACCAGAATCGAAACAACAATCAATGGAGTGGAGACACACTCATTCTCCGAAAAAACAAAAGTTCAAAGTGACAATGTCATCACAAAAAATCATGTGCACTGTCTCTGGGATAGGAAAGGTGTTGCTTACTGAATTTCTTCCCCAGAGGTGAAACCATTAATGCGGCACGATATTGTGAGACTTTAACAAAACTAAGGCGTGCCATTCAAAACAAACGAAGAGGAATGCTCAGTAAAGGAATTGCGTTGCTCCATGACAATGCTCGGCCCCATACTGCTGGTGTCACTCAATCATTAAATCGACAGTTTCATTGGGAGCAGTTGGATCACCCGCCGTACAGCCGGACTTGGCGCCATCCGACTATCACTTGTTCCTGCACATGAAGCGCGAGCTTGGTGGCAAGCGCTTTGGATCTGACGATGACACGAAAAATGCTGTGGAGTCCTGGTTATCGAAACTGGCGGGAAGTTTCTTTGACGATGGTATACAAAAACTGGTCACCCACTATGACAAGTGTTTGATCATTGGCGGAAACTATGTTGAAAAATAGTTTAAGACGTGTATTTTCATGTAAAAATAAAATTGGATTCGAAAAAATTGTTTTACTATTTTTTTCAAAACGGTACTTAGTTTCCAAATACGCCTCACATATAGCTGGTGGCCAAGCAGTACATGCTGTCATATACTTTAGTTGCACAAATCTTAGTCTCCCGAGTCACTCGGGCTTGCATGCTATGATACAACAGTTTCTTGTTTTCTGTTTATTTATCTTTCATAATTTACTATTATTCAAATTCTTTGAATTTAATTTATAAGGATATATGGTTTTGAGTGTTATTCAGTAAGGGAACTTCAGTTGATGCGAAAGTAAGCTTGGTGATGATTTGGTTTCCAGAAGTTTTAATTGAGGATTTTTTTCCTTTCTGTATTTTTGTGATGCAATATTTAAGAGAGAATTTTCAAGTTTGTGAAAGTTTATTTTCTCATAACCAGTTCTTGGCACAATTTGACTAATTTTAAAACTGATGCACCAAAATTTAGTAAACTGTATGGCTGTTGTGAATGTGATCTGGCTTACTTCTAACCAAATTCAGATTCTCTTTTTTATAATTTGTTTTTACACTTTTGAATGTTGTATTTTCATTACATGTTTAATTAATGAAGGATAATTTCATCTTATGGAAGTTAAAACATTCTGTATTTTTGGCCAAAGTTCTATGATTTGGGGGGTGGGAGTTTTGTTTCATTATTAAATTTTAGAGATTCTTGAATAAAATAAAAAATACAAAACATAATGAAAGATTAAACATGTAGTGGTTAACAGAAAAATACAGTACTTGTATGTTATAATGTTACCATGAAAGAAAATCTTTACCTTTGCGATTAATTGTTTAAATTAAAATTTATCACCAACTGAAAATCAGCCCCACTTCATGCGATAACCTCTTTTTTCAAGAAAGATATTTCACGTGTGGCAAACAAACTTAAAGCATGCCTTGATCATTCTTTCAAATGCAAAATATATTATCAGCTTTCGATCTACAAGGCAGTGAGAAAAATGAAGAGTATTCTTTCGAGAAGAATTTGCAAAAATGCTCATGAAATGTTCAAAATTTACTTTTGTGTTTCATCTATGTTATATTTTACTTTTTTTTCCTTTTTTTTTTTTTTTTTTTTTTTTTTTTTTTTTTAATATTTTCTGTTTAGGGATTTTTTCATGCCATGCATTTTGTGCCAAGAGATTTTCTTTCTTTGTAACATACAAGTACCAAAAATATCTGTCACATACTTAAAGAACACATGAGACATTAAACACATGTTTATAACAAGGAGGCATATTTTGACATCAACTTAGTTCCTGCTAGTGAATAGCATCCAAATATCAAAAATACTTTGTTTGACTAAAATTATTATTAAACTTAATTTTTTTAAAGCATTGAAAAGAGTTAATATTTGCTTTGCAGAGGAATTGTTTTAGGTTTTTGGTGTAACATTTCATAAGTGAGATTATGTAGTATTCATAATAATTAATTTTTAATGTATATTATTTAGATCTTCATGTTTATTTGAGCATATGAAATTTCAAGATATACCTTAATTAGTAGCCTTAGTAGTATAATTGGATTATTGTTTTTATTCTGGTCAAAAGTATAAGATAATTTAATTATATGAGATAAAATTACTAAAAGCTGATTCTTAACACTATAAATAATTATTATATAAATTTATGTATTATAGTTTATAATTATTTATATTAATTAGTTACATATTTGAGTATACTAAATTTTAAACATATGTAATAGTTAATATATTGTACTTGTATTAAAGTACAGGATATTTCACACTGCTATGCTATTTTTTATTTAGTATTATATCTGTGAGAACAAATTTGAAGAGAAATTTAATTAGTCTTTTATGTGTTATAATTAACAACTAGTATTATTAGTATCTCAGTAGACAAAATTAAGGATAATTATTTCCCATGGCTGTGGTATTTTTAGTTGTCTCTAGCTTCCATTAGAACCAAGATTTGGGAGGATGACATCATAGCTGTTATTTTACAGTGGGAAAAAATAATTTATAGTTCAAAAGATTTTTATATTTTAACTTCAGTTTTTTTATACTTTTATAAATATTAAAGTGATTTTGAAAAGAATTTGTTGCAGTGTAGCCGAATTTGTTTAAATTTTTATAATATAAAACAGCATTTTGTCTTGTTTTTATTCTGGTCGAAAGTTTGAGATAACTTGATAAAATTAATATTATTAAAAGCTTCTATTTAATCACATATATTAGAATTGAATAATTTTAAGTATTGAGTTTAGATTCCTTCCATGTGTATGTATTGTTAAGAGAAACTATTCCCCTAAATATTTTGTTAGAAAGTCATATTTTAAACTGGGTGATTTCAAACTTGGCCTTTCCTTAATGGGGGAAAAAGTTTATTGTTGGTTTTATAAATGATGAAAACTATTCAAGAGTCATTGCATTTTGTTTTAATATTTATGCTCGTATTCACAGGAAGTTTCGAGATGAGTGTACTAAGGATGAGTAGGTACCTGGATACTTTAACTGGTTATGTAATGTATGGTGAAATTATGATCCCATCTGAAGCTTTCAGCACAACAGGTTTGTATTTGATTTTATCATTTACTATAAATTATTTTCTAACAAAAGTTTTGGTTGTGTGACTGCATGTTTTAATGCTGTTTATTATTAATAAATTATTAGACAAATTATTTCTGGTTTGTGAATGAACAACTTGCTTTAGTGTAATTTTACTTATTTACTTAAAAACCACAATTTTTTTCCCCCTGCCAATGGAACAGATACATACACATAGTCTTTTTTTAGGGGGAAGATTATTAAAAGGAGATTCAGTGCCTACAGGAATTAAGAAAGGATAATAATGGAGTAGATTTTGAGTTGGTTATTTATTGTTCTTAGCTAAATTACATATAAAAAAGTAGGCAAAATGATTTCTGAATAGACATGAATTTAACTCACAATAGTACACAGTGGTGTACCAAGGGAGGTGCAGACCACGGCGAAGCCTCCAAAGAACCTTAAGTTTTTAAGTATATGTATCTCTATCTAGGAATGTAAAACAGGGCCTTTGTATCCTGGTGGGGATGGCTTTGTATAAATGTGTCATATTTAACTCCTTCACATCCAATCCGCCCGACACGGCCCTACATTGAAACAACGAGAACCGCCCAAAAACGGCCAAGATTGTAATCTTCTTTTCTTCCCTTCCCCTAAGGTATGCAATAGCAGGTGCACTTTCCCAAATGCATTGTATCAGTTTACTGCAGACAGCTTGTCCTAAGAGGTTTTTTTATCTTTTGGACGATCGTGACATTTCGTTGTTGATTCTTTTGTGGTACAGTGTGCTTTTAAGCTTTAAACAGCAATAAAAGAGCAGTGTAAAAATTTAAGGATTATATTTATTTTTAAACAATTTATTCCTTCCTATAAAAATAACGGAAATAAACAAATCTCAGTCGTGATCATAACAAAGCCAGAAAGGCTTGTAGATCTGACCTTCAGAATAGTTTTATAAAGAACGGGGTCAAAGGATAATGGAATCTTTGTTAGAAAGTACAAAGGATGTCATTGGAAATCTTCACACCTATTTTCTGCATTAATGGATGGGGAGAAGAGGAAATTGCTGTGAAACTGGAAAAGTATTTCGGGCGGTTCGGGTATTTTGAGGATACAGCTTAGCGAAGGGTCTGGATTTCAAAGAGTTAAAAGTGTATGTTGAAAACACTGAGGCTATAATTTTATATAAGTATTTTTGTAATTATTATATAACTATTATTATTATTATAATTTCTATATAACTGATACTATATAGCTGATGCTGATTTATAAGATACGAGCAGTTTTCCACCCTTCTACCCATGGGTTATAGATATGCTCTATGTGCAGAAAATGGCTAGGCAAACTTGTGCTAAAATACTGTATAAACTAAACAAGTTTAGTAAATGTTTTTGTAGATTTAAGAAATGTTGCACAGTTTGGCAACACCACCTTTTAGGGTGCCAGTGACAACCCCAGAGGTGACGTCTCAAATATCTAGGACTTAAACTGAGTTAGCTTTTTAGCACTATGAAACACACCTGCAGAGTGTCATCAAGTCTCGTAGAACAGGACAGGGTGTTGTCTAAAGTTATAGAATTAAACCTGTAAAGTCCAGCATGATTTACACGTACTATATGAATTTAAATTGTCTGTCAATAAAAGAAAGCTAAAACTGTTTATTGAGAGATCTAACTTCTGGATTTTTTATAATAGCTTCATCAAAATTAATGTGTTTAGCTACCGCATTTCCAATTCAAGGGATTTCTGTACTATTAAAAGTCATACTTGGCTCAATTCATTATAGAGCATTCTTGCGCTTTCGAAAATTTTTGAGAAATAATTCTTTGTGGAAATTCACAGGCGATTGCGGCCATTCGTCAGGGTATATAAGGTCTAGCTGCTGGCCCACAGTGAGATTAAATTAGTATAGAGACTGAATTCAATCATTACACCTTCATCCTAGAAACTGAAGAACTTATGAAGTTGATTTCAAGCCTCACAGAAACTTTTGTTGAGATGGACAGAAATGAAACCTTACTGGAAATTAAAAAGTTAAGATGTCATCTTTAAGCAGCAAAAGTTGAAAAGGAAAAAGCTAAAAAGCAGTCTGCATTGAAAATGTTAAAAGCTTATTGTGGAAATGGACTTCCAAGAATAAGTCCCTATCTTTTATTTAGCACTTAAGACTTTTTTGACAGTGTGCATTTCAGTGGCTTCTTGTGAGAGAAGCTTTTCAAAGTTGAAGTTGATTAAAAGCTATTTTCAATCAACATTGAGCCAAGTAAGACTTTTAATAGTACAGCAGTCCCTTGAATTGGAAATGCGGTAGCTAAACACATTAATTTTGATGAAGCTATTAAAAAAATCCAGAAGTTAGATCTCTCAATAAACAGTTTTAGCTTTCTTTTACTGACAGACAAGTTAAAATCATTTTTAAAACAAAAAATATGGCAGATTAATAAGCTTTTTTAAATATATGTTTGCTTGCTAGATGCAAGTTGTTTTTTCTTTAGTCATATATTTTTTTTCTTTTCCAAATCATTTTTCCTATTTAATTTTAATTGCATTAATGTTAATTATATATATTTGTGTTAACATTTTGTATGTTTACAATTGGTAGGGTCCAAGGAGATTTATGCCCTGGGTCTCAATAGCTGTAGGTCTGACACTGATAGTATATACTTAAAATTTTTGGAACAGTGTTCATATAAAGTTCTTTCATTATATCTAGTTCCATTCCTTCATTTACTAGTTTAGCATGTTCTCACAATATTACATGGTTTCTTAGTGGTAAATATCTTGCAGCACAAGAAAGTTTTCTAAATAAGAGAGCACAGCAGCTGAATAAATCAGCCATTCTTCTTTTAGCAGAGGAAACATGAGCATGTTTTTCATATGTAAGCAACAGTTTTCTTGTCTACTTGTTACCTTGTAAAGGAGGAATGGATTTCAAACATAGTGTGCCCAAAATAGTTAGTTAATATTAAGTGCTCTTAATGATTTATAATAAGCAAGAAACTTTTAAAAAACTTTTAAAACTTCTTATCTTTATTATTAATTGAGGGTATTAAGGAATTTACAGCTTTTGAGAATTATTTGGAATACATTTCAAACTAGTAAACGTTTTATAATTCAAGATTCCCAGTTATATTCTTTGGCATAAAACCAAGATTTGTGCATATATATAATAACAGTAATTTATGAGAAATTAAATCTAGAAATTCTTTTTTAATGTATTGTTTAACAATATTAAAAACATTACATTACATTTAATTTTGTCATATTTCAGTTTTTGTTTTAATAATTTTTTGTATATATATATATATATATAGTATATATGTATTTTATATTTATTTAAGTAACATGTATTGTTTAAAACATTTCAGAAACATCAGAATTGAAGCTGGTTAATAACACATTCGAAATGGCAAAAAGCATAGCCGAACTGAAATTGACCGAATCAGAGTTGGCTCTATACTCTGCCTCTGTCTTACTTTCACCAGGTTTGTTTCCTTTTACATTTGCTAGGTCTTTGAAGTTTTAAACATACTGCATTTTGCAAAGTGTAGCTAAAACAAAACATGAAATCCCAAAATTTGATTTGTCTTGCATTACTTTTACAGTCACATAAATATGTACAAGTTTAAATTATTAAAATTTAAATATGTTTCATTGCATACAGTCAGCTCCAGATAATAGGCTCTGTGATTAATTCAAGGAAGTCAAGTAAACATAAGAAAGAGGAATAACCCATATTCAACAGACAAATATTATTAATAACCAATTTGTATTTAAAAGCAGTATAATTTGGAGAATTCAATAACCAATTAAAGTCATTTGGTTATGTGAAATTGATGTGTCGTACATTTAACACAGTTAAGGCCTTTGGGTACACTGTCCTCTATTTAGCACAATTTAATTAAAGAATCATAAATTAGAATAACTATGAAATCTTTATTTAACAAGTTAGAGAGTTTGGTTAAATAGAATACAAATCAAAGTTAACGTCTTTACAAACATTCGAATTGAAGTGTTGAAACAAAGAACTTGCGAGATACTCATTTATAAGTTTTAAATAGCTTCAGGTTTACCTATTAAGCAAAATTATAAGGAGTTTACCTATTCAGAAATATTCTATGCTGAAAAGAATGAAGCACAAGTATAATTCAGCAATATTCTATGCTGAAAAGAATGAAGCATAAGTATAATTTTTTAAATTTTAATTATAACAATGTATTAGTTTAACATAATAATGAAGGATCTGTTTTTATGTATGTATGTATGTATATTTCTCGCATTGTGGAAAAATTACAGCTTCTAGAGTCACCGAATTTTTAATAAATGTAGTTTTCCACCTGAAATTTAGCACCACAAAATCCAAATTTTGAATTTGCTTTTGATTTATTTCATATCTTATGTAAATTTAATGAATTTTTTTAACAAATTCAGCGATCTGAAAGGGGAAGTAGCAACATTGTTTGAAATAAAACATTTTTATCTTCAGCATACCAGACTGTTTCTGTTTGGCAAAATATAAATCTGTAAAATTGGAAGAACCTTTCCATTTTAATTCACAAATTCGTCTATTTAAAAGCAATGTATTTCCACTACTTCAAATAGAGTATTAATATCTCCATTCACCAGAACATTCATAAAGCTTAAGATTTAGCATTTAACTTTCAAATTTAATTTTTCTGTTGGTGAGTAAATACCCTTTGGTCCAGATAATTCCAAGCTTATGTCACTGAGTAGGAAACCAATCGAGTGAAAAGCTATAAATATAATTCTTAAAAATATTTTTTCCACTTTTTAATTTGTTTTTTGGTTAACAATTTCTAATTTTTAATTAGATTGATTTAAATAAAAATTCATTTTAATCTTGACATGTCTAATTAGAAATATTAATTGTTTTCTGAAAGAATTCTAGATAGACTCATTAAAATCATCATGTACTTTTTTTTTATTGCATGATAACAGTTTTAGGTGGCTGGTTTTCAAAGAAATAATATTGCAAATACAAAAAGAAGAAAAAAAGTATGGCTATCCTTAATACTCTATTGAGAATTCTAAAAATATTCTCTTTTTAAATATTTCATGATTTTGCTCTTGAAGTTTTTGTTGTGTAAGTGCAAAGAAAGTAATTCTTAATAATAAAAAGAGAGGGGGAAAAAAATGTTCTGTTAGCAGGAGTGAGTTCAAGACCAGATTGGTAATTGTGATGCTTAAGTAGTTACTGTTCATAATTACAAGCATAATGAATAATAATGAAGTTTATCTATATTAAAGATCTTGCTTTTTGGAATTTCTTCAACATATATTTCTAAAATACACTTTGTACTTCTATTTCTAAAGGTAATTTGTCATTAACAGTTTTACTTATTCAAGCTTGGATCATCATCTTCAGATTTCCTGTGCATAGAGGCAGTCATGTTATACATGGAATTTTTGAATTTAAATGTCATTAAAATATTAAAATTAAATCACTAACTGACAAACTTTACAGAATTAATTTTTGCTTTTTTGTAAATAGATTCTCATGCTTAAGTTTTTTACTTCATTCATATAACAATTGAATCTGATTTTTACCTTATTCATCTTATGACATTAAAAAGTAGATTTAAGATATTTTAGTGTTCCTGGAAATAATTTATTTGACTAAAACATGACAGATAAAATTCTTGAGGAAAAATAAAGTTCTGAAAAGTATTCTTAAAGGGACCTGTGAAAATCTGGACTTCAGTCTTCTATGTCTAAAATTTGTTCAAGATATTATAGAAATGCTCTTGTAATGAATAAATGCTTGCTGACTTGCTTGAGAGGTTTACCATTTATGGACATTGGTGTTATTTTCTGTGTTAAATCTTGATGTTGGATCTGATGAAATCTGTGTTAAATCTTGACGTGTACATTTTTTCTTTTCTTGCTCTAAATTATACTGATATCTTAAATATATATATTATCAAATAAGTTAAAACTTTTAAAAACTTCTAGTATTTTTATAATTGTAAGCTGTTATTAATAAAATTTTCTTCATTCATTTTTAGACCGTCCGGGACTCAAAAGTGTCTTAGATGTGCAGACTCTTAATCAAGCAATTCTCAAAGCCTTAAAATATGAACTTGATCAGACCCACAAACTTCCATACAAAGGTGATGTGAGGGCATTTGATATACTTATGGCAAAGTTAACGGACTTAAGAGATTTAAGTGCCCTGCATATGGAGACATTGGCCAAGTTCAGGTGTTCGGCGCCGCATCTCGATTTCCCGGCCCTCCACAAAGAACTGTTTTCCATCGACATGTAATCATTGAAATCATCTTTTCATCAAACACTGCAGTGCCAGAATTTAAAGTATTAACGATGGCACCACCAAACTGGCTGGTGCCAGTTTCTTTCACATTGCTACTGATATGTGGCATATGTACTTTTTTTCTGTCACTATGACTGGAGTCGATGGCCTCCAGTGTAAAGTTCAAAAGACTTTTGTGCATTTTCAGATGTTCTCAATGGCACACATTATTATAGAGAAATTTAATATATTATGTTTTAAAAAACATTTGAAATGTAAAGCTACGAAGTTATTATGAAATCATTCATTTGTTATTTGTGAGTACATTACTTAGGTTTGATTGCCTTCATGACAGATGACCGCATCGTAGACTTTGATTGCTCGTTACCTGATTTTTGACCGGTGAACTGTGGTATGTAATACCAAGAGCTTTTCTATCAAACGATGCAGGCCATTCCTGAGTTTGAATATAATAATTTGCATCCTACATTCTTATATGTCATTAAATCATTTCAAGAAGTTTTATGATAGAAGAGAAATTTTATTTAAAGGAGCAATAAATGTGATAAGAAGTGAAGTGGGAAACTGTGTGGCTCCAAGCCGGACAATTTGTTGAAAATAGCTTATGGTGTCGGTTTATTGCTGTCGACTAAATGTTTTGTACAAAAAATAGAAACCAGGGATTTATATTTCAGAAGCAGTTATTTGTTATGAAATCATTTTTATTAACTTGCATCGAATGAGAAGAGATTTCTTACTGCCAATTTTGTGCTTGTTTTTGGTTGGTGATCGGTAGTTTTTATAGTAGATACTTTTTGGCTCACTTATTTATATTGCACATTTAATGTTTTTTAATGTTTATTTCTGTTTCGCGTAGACTGTCACAATAAACTGAATTTGTAAGATGTCCAAGTCAAGTCCAGTGGAAGGTTTCTTCAATTTATGAGAGAAGAAAATGGCAGTAGAACAATATTTTTTAGCTCTCTGGCTTTGTACAAATTATTTTATTATACATGATTAACATCTATATGTACAGAGCAATGTCTTAGGTTAAAAATGTTTCCTATTTTACATCCTAATCTATTACTGTCTCTTTGTGTATACATTTTTATAAGATAAATACAAATTAAAGATTGTGTCTCCTTCAGAAAATATCATTTTTATGCACTTAGTCGTACTTAAATCCATATTGTAAATAGATACATAATAAAAATATATTAAATGAATTTATTATATGAAATAAGAGTTCATAATTATAGCTACATATGTGAAAGTGCAATATGAAAAATGGCCTTCTTTAATAATACCAATTTTAATGCTAAATTCTTTTTAATTAGATAAAGATTTCATAATCTGATGACGAATTTATGTTTTTTACTGCTTCAAAATGGCAATGATTTTAATACATCTATCTTTAGTTCTATTCATATTTTTATATATTGTTTTATTATATATGACTACAGGAAATAAAAGATCTACCTCAATTATTACATAGTTACATCTTTTTTTAAAAAATATTTCTGGAAAATTTACTTTTAAAATTTTTACATTGAAATTTAAAATATGAATTTAAAAATTAGAAAATATTTAGAACAGTCTCAAAAACAATTTTAAATTGAGATTAAAAACATAAATTAGAAATGTATATGTATACAAAGTGACTGTATTCTCTCTCTCTTTGGGCCAAAAAAATTTGCATTTTTGCTGCAATAAAATATTATAAAATGTATTATAAAATAGTTTATTCAAGTGAAATTTATCTCTGTAAAATTTTATTACACAAATTTTGTTAGTATTTTTTTCAGCTACATTTATCAGAGTTCTGAATTTATTAGTATTTTTTTCAGCTACATTTATCAGAGTTCTGAATTTATTTCTTTTTCAGCAATAAAAAACAGCCGACTATAAATGAATATGTTCTTATTATTCCAAATGATATAATTGATTTGAGCTATGGGCAGAAATCATATTTATATTTAATCATTGGTCATTCATAAGTCAAGTATAGTTTTTCTAAAGAAAATAATCAGTTTTACATAAATAATAATTCCTTACCGGAAAATAAGATTTTTTTTCAAGTAGTCAGTATAGATTAATTAATATCAAGTAGTCATTATGGATTTTTATTAGTTTGAACATCTTAGTAAAACCAGTCATCTGCTTGAATTTTAATGTGATTACTTTATATAATTATTTTAGGTAATGCATTTGAAATTTAAAAAATAATTAATCATTTAAAAATTTCTTAAAATTTTCCGTTATACTGCTGTATTTAAATGAATGGTCTTTGAAGCAACATGTATTGGATATGTTCACTAATATTTATCTCATTTTTTACAGACTTATGTTACATGTTTGCATGTTTTACAGGTATTAAGAATTTTACTTTCAGACATATGCCATATGTCTAATCCATATGAAAAAAAATTATAATTGTGTAAAAAAATCAAACTAGTTATTTTGCAATGAATACAACCAGATGTTACGTAATTTGTCCAGAATCATAAAATGTCATTATGGATTAGTAAATTTAGTCTAGACTTATTAAACTTTTGGAGCGGTTTATTAAGAATTATTTAACAGCCTCCATGTATTCATCCATCTTTGTAACATTAATTGTAAAATTAAAAAAATAAATAAAAAAAATTTTGGCCCTGGTCACTTTGTTATATACATTTACTTTATCAATGAAATTCTTTTATAATTGTAACAAATATTAATTTAATTACAATAAATATTTTAAATATCTAGAAGGCTATTTTTCCTTCCTCAGCTGAACTCTCATGAGTAGTTTGACAGGGAGTGACTCATTAAGTTAATTTTGTCTGTCATCAAATTATGCAATGGCTGAAGATTTCACTCAAGATGAGGCTCATGGTCACTGCCAACTATGGAAAATGAGTTGCTTATCATTATTCTGTTATTGAAATGCATCTAGTATCTTACAATTGTGAAATTTGTGTATTAATGAAATTTGGTTGTATTGCATTTTTTAGTTACTTTTTGCACACAGAATTATTATAAAGGTCACAATTTCATGTTAGTGTTCTAAGATTTTTACACTGTTATATTATTATGCCTTAAAGTTCCTGTGTTTTTGTAATTTTTTATTATTTAAATTTTGCTCTTTTAACATCTCCCTTGTTAATTTTTGTTTTATTGAGCTGTATGATTATTTTTATATTTCTTGTAAAATATGAAATATTTTTCTTAAATTATGCTCAAGACATATTTTAAATTATTATAAAACAGGAAAGTGAGTTTACATTATTAAGAAATTTACAAAATGTTTTTTATAATAAAACATTATTTTTAAAACTTAATATACTTGGTTTCCAGTTAGTTCTTTAATATGTAAATGTTTGTGATCACAAAATATTTGTCTGTTGTTATTTATATATAAATTTCAGTTTAATACTTCATGACTACTATAGTATGTCATTTGTAGAGTTTATTATTGTTCATATGTCATTAATAGCATCATAAAGTGTTTTAAAAGATCTAAAGTAGACTATGAAAATAATTTCAACTGCCTTAAATTTTTATTCAGTAAAGAACAGCAAAATCATTTCAAAGTATAGAGGCTTTATTAGCCTTAATTTTAGTACCAAAATATTAAATTCTATTTGTTGAGCTTCGTCTTGTTACAATATATATTGAATTAAAGGTAGTCTAATATGACATTGGGTGCGCCATGTTGGAAGTTTGTAGCTGTTAAAGTTTACTTGAATCACTATGTGCCTGCTTGTTGCACCAATGTCCATATAGAGCTAGATTTATTTATTTATGAAAAGTAATATTTCAGTTGTAATATCGAATTGTTTATTATCCTAAAATATATGGAGTATGAAAATGGAACTGGAGTTGTCTTCAAATTAAAATTTTACTTTGTAATTTTTTGGAAAGGGCAAAGAATTTTAATAGAAATTAAATTTTATTAATAATCAGTTATATTTTTTAAATATATGGACTCTCTGAGGCAGGGCATTTGAATTACACTGTACATTGTTTTGAAAAAAAAATATTGTATATTATTATTATAAGATTTAGCAGGCAGACTGTTAATATTAAAAAATAATTTACTAATTTGATGTACATAATATTAATTAATTGTGTCTGCTTACTAAGCATTTCTGTGCATTGTTCAAACATGTTATAGTAAACACTGAAAGCATGTTTCTGTTTATGCTTTGTTAATCTGAGTTAATAATGTCTCGCGTATTAAAATGTCTGGGTATTTTCCACTTTTGTGTTATAAAATGTTATTTTAGAGAACACATTTTTCCAAATGAATGAGAAGCATCTAAGATCTGGTGTTACACATACATATATATATATATGAAAATTTATTCTATAAATTTTAAGGTTAATTAGAAATTAACATTTATGTGGAATTGTTTGCTTAATTGTAACCATGGCCTATTTGTATGTATCTTTTACAATGATATATAATTATGTTAGAATGCTTAAAAGTTACTAGATAAAAAAATATGACAAATGAATTCAGAGAGTGATTTAAATTTAAAAGCATCTTAAAATATTTTACCTAATAATATGTACTTTTAATAATGGTATAAAACAAGTAAACTGTTTATAATGGAGAAGCATTTTAACATTAATATTTGGTATTATTCAGCTTGAGATTGCCATTAACTTCAGACAAGAAGACTCAGTTTGTTAGGAAAGACAGATAACTTTGTATTCATTTTTAAGGAGTACATCATGAATAATGGGTTTTGGGAAAAGGAAACTACAATTTGTTTCTTTGGAAATGCTTTGAGATTTTATTTGTATAACATCAAAGAAACGTTATATTTAACACCATTGTTAAAAGCATAAGTTTTTTTTTTTTTAAACTTTGATAAGAGTCTAATGCAACTATAAATGCTTATCTTCTTTATATGTGCATATATGTTCACTTTCACACATTGTAAGCTAATGTTTTTGCAAATTTTGTAGCTCTAATTTTGTTTTAAATATTAGAACTTTTATCTGATGAAATTTCTAATGTTTGTCATATTTATGAAAAAGACTTATTCTAAATACATATTGTAATAACCATAGGCGGGATGGGAATACTGGAGTATTTTTATAAATTATATGTAATAGTTATTGAGCATTCATCATCTAATTATTCAGCATAAAATATGTAAAGATTTTTATGAAATAAGTATTTCTTTTTTTATTTTATTACTTAAAGACTTTGATAATTAATCGGGGAATTTTTTTTGTGAATTATGATACTAAATATTCTAGTTGCCAATATACTTTATGATATGAAATTATTTTTAATCTAATCTTTTTGGATTATTATTAGAAAACAGGAAGCCCTAGTGTCAAGAGAGTTCATTTTTCTCTTTTTAGTATTTGCTATTGTTGTATTTTGAGCCAGTTTCATAATTTTCTTTGTTTTAGTTTGGATTGAACATGTTGAAAAATATTGCAATAATTTTAACATATACTTAGATCTAAAATAGTGTTACCAGATGATAATTAGTGCCTCAGCTGTTACTTTTCTGTTAATAATTACTGTAAAAATTTATATTACCAGAACATCATTTATTGTTAAATCTTGAATTTATATATGAATTATGTTTGAAAATTGCCAGAAGCTGTACTATTGCATTTATTCATTGTATTAATATTTATATTTAAATTTAGAAAGGCATACTTACTAAATTATGTGAATTCAGTATTCATCTTTTATACAGATGATGGTTATAAGCAAATAATCTCCAGTCGACAGATTTTTCTCACTGTTTCACCTGATAGTTAAAAAAAATATCTCATGAACTTCAAATATATGTTATTCATTTCATTGAAAGATTTTTGTTTGTATTTAAACAAATTTGTCAAAATGTGTCAATAATCCTTTAGTGTACAATATTTTTTTAAATTTTATTTTCATCATTGTTGGTGTATGTGTGTACAGAAGAGTTTTGATTTATGTGGTGTCCAGGAACTCTGTAATATTTTTGACTATAGGAAAAAAATTCTGCTATTTTAGTGTTATGACACAGAGAGAGCAAAGCTATATATTATATATTTACAAACAAATGTTTCAGAACATGGTTGTTAAAAACCTGTTAATGGGTTTGTGTACAATGAGATAAGACATTGGATGGTTCATGTATTTGCTTAGCTGTTTTAGATAATTATATAACCTTAATTTATTCAGGAATCTGAGAATTTGTTTTGCAGTTTTATTGGAGACAATTTCTCTCTTTTGGAAAGTAAGAAAAAGTTCATTTTAATGTGAACATTGATTTAATAAAAGAAAACTTTATATAAAATTTAAAAAAAAGTCATGCTAAAGATTGAAGACCAGAAATTATTTTATGATATAGCATAATAATATGCATGTTACTATGTTAAACTCATAGTAGTATTTAGGTTCCCCCCCAAAAAAAAATATGTATATGTAACAAGTTTCCCAAAATAATGAAATGAATTTTATCTGAATTATTATACTTATCGTTTTTAAAACAAAGAAATTATTTAAGTATAGATATCATTATATACCATTGTAGAATTTTATTAAATTATATAATTTATAGTTCAGATTCTGAGATAATTCATGTAGCATTCATTATTAAAAAGTATATTTTGATTTATTTATTGGTTTAATTTATTGGAAGCACCTAGGATATTTATTATATAGATTAATTATTGGAGTTACATTATACATTATATTTTAAATATACTTGCATATTCTTTTTGCATTTGCCTTGATGGTCAGACTGACTCAAATAATTTAATTAATTTTATTGCAAGTGAAATTTCAACCTTAATTATAATTTATGTATTTCAGTTTCTTCTTTATATAGTTCAGTTTTCAGTTAGTTACTTTTACTAATTTTAAGAATTCTAGATATTAGTTTCAATAAATCTTTATAATATTTTTTACCATTTTAAAAATACCTATTACGGAAATTTATATCGCATAAATATAAATGTTCATTATCTGTGTATTTTACATCTAGTATATTGAAAGAAACTTTTTTTTTTCCTGTATAACATGTGAAAATAATCCAAACTGTTCTTTAAAGTAACAATCTCTTAACATTTAAAGATAATAAGACAATACATACTTTTTATCAGGACAATCAGGCAAGGTCCATCTTCTTCAGGAGAAGAATTTGCTCCTGATGAAGAGGTACCTATGCCTGATTGCCCTCGGAATCGATAGAGTTTTGATTAAAATCTACGCCTTGCCTACGGTTGCTGTTTTGTTCAAATTTAAGTATTAATTATCATTTTGTATATTTGATACTCCTGAGTAATTACTTCCAAATTTTTTTATTACCCTTTGCTCTGATTATCATTGATCATAGGTAATTTTCTTCCACTATTTTGTATTTTTTTTTTCACTTTCATCTCTTCACAAACTGACATAAAAAATATTTAAATTATAGTGTTTATTTTATTTTATTTTATTTTATTTTGCTTTTTTAATTATTGATTGAGATAGACATGAATTTAAATTAAATTAATCATTCTGAAAAATTTGGTCTTTATTTGGTGTATATTTGTGTGTGTGGGTAGTATTACAAATTTTTATTTTAAAACAAAATTATTTCCACACAGAATGCTGCTAAAAATTAATCCGTATAGGCAAAAAGTAAGAAATTTAGAACCAATTCCACAAAGACTCTAAAGAATTGAAATTCAATATAGTAAATTTCGAAAATTCCCTACAAATATGTAAAATTAACCAAAAGTCAGAAACATTAAAGAAATATGAAATACTAAATCGTCAAAAAATACAAAAACCACAAATAAAAGATACCACAAAAAATAGGTTTTTTATTATTGATGGTTCTTTATATTTTTTGAGGTTTTAGTATATCATATTTCTTTAATTATTCTGAATTTTACACAAATTTAGGGCATTTTGATATTTACTGTATTAAATTTCACTTCTTTAGGGTCTTTGCAGAATTCATTCTAAATTCTTTACTTTTTGTCTCTCTCTCTCTCTCTCTCTATATATATATATATATGCATATGAGTTAACTAAATTTGGGAAATTGAATATTTTAGTATGAATTTTTTTTTTTTTTAAATTACACATTCATGACAAGGACAAAACACGATGTCTGAGCAGTTGGGAAGAGAGTGAAATAAGCTAATTCCCCCAAAGAGTCAGCATCATTTCGCTATCCTTTCAAATTTTCATTTTTCAGTAACTTTTCTATGATTTTATTATAATTTTTTATTTGCATTTTTTTGCATTTCAATTTAATTTGCTTTTCCACAATTATTGGCTAGTACTTGTAAGACAATTTTTTCCATCTGCCACTTTTTTTCTTTTACAATATTTCAAAATTCTTTTCTAAATTTTTATTTTACCTTTTGGTTTGTATAAAATCAATTTTACCTCTTTTTTTAAAATAAATTTTTAATTTTTACTTTCTTCCTTTTCCTATTATGATTTGTAGATTGGGATTTTATGTAGTCTTCAAATTGCAATTCTTAGTTTTCTTTATTGGCATTCTTAATTTTTACTTTTTGGAATTTTTGATAGGAGTATTCTCATTTCATTCATTGCCGTTTTTAGTCTCCATGGTTTTGGTTTGACGAAACGTGCCTAGGTTGCCGATTTCAGGCACTTTTCCCTGGATAAGATCTTTCTGAAACCTTGAACAAAGTGAAATGACCATTTATTTAAAATTTTTTGTATAAAATTTCTCAGTATTTTGTAAAATGTTTAGGTTAAGCGTATCAATTTTGATTTTGTTATAAAGGTTTTTTAAAATTTTTAGTATTTTCAGTACGTTTCTTAGCGAACCAATTTTAATTTTGTTGTATAGGTTTTATAAAATTTTGTAGTATTTTCAGTAAGTTTTTTTTTCGCGTAAAATTTAACTGCTTTCGTTTAGTGTAATTGTTTTAACTTGGTGTTACATGTAAACTTAAGAATTAGCTGCATCAAATGTACTTTAAGGCTTTAGCTAATTTTTAACTTTCCTTTTCTTTTCAATCTATTTTTAAAATTAGCAGCTCACAACATTATATGTATGTATATATATTATATATATATATATATATAAACATATAATATGTATAATATATATATAATATATCTATATATATATATATATATATAATATAAATATATATATATAATATATATCTATATATATATAAAAGTAGCAAGACCACATGTACACCAAATAAAGTACATAAATATGTATTTTAAAAGAAAGTGTAACTGAAAATGTTTATTTTTATAAAATGCTTAATAAATTCTTGGATGTTAGCTGCCCATTAGTGTCTGAGCAAATGAAAAAAAATCATCCAATGTCTTAGGTCTCTTATGTGAAAGGTGCTTTTCAGTGACTGCCTCAATTGACACTCCTGTATTCATAGAGGAAAAAATATTAGAAACATTGTTAGCATTGCAATCTTTTAATACTGTTGACAAACAATAAAAGATACTCTTATCTTTCTTCTCACAGATGTCATGTCATTATTTTTTTTATAATTCTAGTACAATTAATAAATTCTAAAGCAACTGAGAATGCATAAATCCTTAAATGAATTCAAAATTATTGGTGTCCTGTACTTGCCTAATGGGCTGTAGCTGCGTGCTTCACTACAATGTCTTGTGAAAACAGTTACAGTCAAAAGTCGTTAATTCGGACACCTATAGTCCGGAATGATCTATAATCCGGACCTCAAAGCTACAAACTTTCTGCGTATGCGTCGCGTTAACGCATGCGCATAGACGTTTACGTATGCGCGTAAGACTATTACGGCTGTGCGTGTGCGCATGCGCATAATACCTTTACGCATGCGCGTTTAATGTATGACGGACGGTATAAGCTAAAATTATCTATTTCAGTTAATGTTGCAGATTGCGGTGTTCCTTAATCTTCGAATTGGATTCAGCTTATTATTTTTTGCAGACTGTTAGAGCAATTTTATAAAAGTAAGCTTGAACTTTCGATTATGTCAAATAGAGTTTCCGATGCTGGAGCTCCCAAAGGATCTACAAAGCGAAAGTATGTTTCGATGTCCATCAAACAAAAAGTGGAATTGCTGCAAAAAATGGATAAAGGCATGAAGGAAGTGACAGAGAGGTTAGTGAAAACGAAAAAAATTCGATTGACAAGTTAGTCGGTATTCTCGGCACAGCAATTACAGAACTTATTGCGAAAGGTGGTTCTATTTCTAAATGAAGTGAAATATTTCAACAATCTACAAAAACAATCATTTTATTTACAAAGCAACTTGGCATCGAAGGTTCTGCTAACTAACTGCGTCGCAAACTAAAAACTAACATTCCTTTTCAGAAGCGAAGCGCCCTCTAACGGCGATACGTAAATCATTTGGGGGATTTTTCCACACTCCCCACCTGATAATTTCTGCAAAAATTATCACTATTTCAGCATACAAATAATAAAATATAAGAAAGCAACTTACATATCAAATACATTCAACTGATGTAAATATAAACTGCAAAAGGAAATTCTATAAAATAAACAAATATAGTTAACTGCATCAACTCAAATGTTACTCAATACGTAAATATTAATTCAAATTACAAACAGTAAATTATTAGTAATAACTAAACTAATTATCTAAAATTAATGTTAGTGAATATGAAATACAAGAAGTAAAATTAAAAGGTTACAAATTTAGTTCATTTTCAGTCTGATAGTTCAAGGGGGTATATCAATTGCACAGGTCTCTTAAGGTCCCCTTTTTTAGTTTTTACCACACATGATCGTACAAGACCATCACGTCCTTTGAAGACTTGAATTACTCGACCTAAATCCCAGAGGAACTTAGATTTAGTTGTTCCTTCAAGTAAAACTATATCACCAATTTTAAGATTTTTCTTGGCTTCTGGTGTACCGAAGAAGTGAGCATTTCTTAACTCAAGAAGATACTGATTTTTCCATTTTTTCCAGAACTGTTTTATAAGTGTTGTCTGATATTCTTTTCGTTTTATTAGACTCTTTCTTGTTGGAGAGTTATTCAGGATCTCAGCAAAGTTGTATGGATATTCATCCTTATGTCCGATCAATAGAAAATCAGCCGGTGCAAGCGGTTCAGGTTCATGTAAATCGTTGTAAACGTAGGTCAAAGGACGTCTATTCACAATATTTTCGACCTCTGTCAACACAGTCATAAATTCTTCAAAATTCAGTTGAGCTCTGCCTAATATCTTTTTCAACGGTTCCTTTATGGTTTTCATAAGGCGTTCATAAAAAGCTCCCCACCATGGAGCAAGCTCGACGATAAATTTCCAAGTCAAGCCTTCATTTGCTAGAAAATTTTGAAAGTCTGTACCTTTAATTATGCTGTAAAAATACTGTAAATCTTTGGCAGCATATTTGAAAGTTTTCGCGTTATCTGAATAAAAAAGGTGCGACAGTTTCCTCTTCTCGAAATGAAACGTCTGAGAGCCAAAATGAATTTGTTTGCAGACATATTGGAAATGAGTTCTAGATGTAACGCTCGTGTAACAGCGCACGTAAACAATACGATGTATGATTTCTGAATGTCGTTTCCAGACCTGATGTAAACTGGACCTGTGAAATCCACGCCTGTAACATAGAAAGGTGGAGTTTCAACAATTCGATCTTTAGGTAACTGAGCTGTCATTTGTTTCGCTGGTTTTACTGCGTATTTCCGACAAATTAAACAGTTCCCTAAGACTTTCTTTACCAACTGACGGCCTTTAGGAATCCAAAATTTCTGTCTTAGTTTGGCTAAAGTTGCTGCAACTCCCGCATGCAGAACGTTATTATGTTCCCTTTTTACAATTAATTCAGTAAATTTGGAATCTTTAGGAAGAAGAACTGGATGCTTCTCGTCAACTGTATATTCGGTTTCTTCTAATCTTCCCTTAATTCGAAGAATTTTATTTTCATCAAGAAACGGTGCCAAGCTGAATATATCAGAGCTTGGAGAAATTGACTTGTTAGATTGAAGAGCCTTAATTTCAGGTGTGAAGAAATCCATCTGGGCTTTACGAACACAAAAAATTTCAGTGTCCTGAATTTCAAAAGCACTTAATGTTCCACTATTAGCAGGCAGTTTTCTTGCCTTAGCAACGAAACGTCTAACCCATGCCATAATTCTGAGATATTTCAGCACATTACTGAATTTTGTTATATCCAATAGTTGATCATCTCTTTTCACAACAACGTCATAAACAGATATCTTACTACGGAGTTCTAGTTGCTTATCGTTTCCCACGTCAAACTTCGGTTGAACTGGCCAGTCTATACGTTTGTTTTGCAACCATTCTGGTCCAAACCACCAAAGTGAACAATTTCTTAAATTAGCAACAGTAGTTCCTCGTGATATGAGGTCGGAGGGGTTATCTTTCCCACGGCAATAATGCCAATTATTGCTTTCAGTTAGTTTCTGAATTTCATAAACTCTGTTTTTGATGAAAGATTTAAATCTTTCGGGAGATCCCTGAATCCAAAAATACGTTATTTGAGAATCAGTCCAGTGGAAGGGGATTACTTCGTATTTTTTAAATTTTGCGATTTTATCACTCAATCTAGCGGATAAAAGCGCACCCAAAAGCTCCAATCTAGGAAGTGTAAGGGATTTCAGAGGTGCAACTCTACTCTTGGAAGCAACAAAAACTGTTTGAAAAGTTCCATTGTTCAAAAC